GGCGCGGTGAGCGTGGTGATGGGGTGGGGGGGGGGGGGGGGGGGGGGACGATTCCGATCGAAACCCTGGTTGTAAGCGAAGACAGGCCAAGGTCACGCCGTCCCTAGATATCGAATCCGACTAATGCTAGCCATTGCTTGGCACTACCTTCTTCAGGACACAACGTCAATGTCTGGTCGTGGTTGGGCTCTCGTCGAGGCGGAGGTCCTCCGGGCTGTGTGAGCACCTCCCTCACGCTTCCTCAGCACCGGCGGGCTCTCAATCTTCCCGTCGAGAACCACTACACCCACATGCAGACTGACGAGGCCCTTTACGCGGAGCTGGACTCGCAGGCGGCGAGTTACGCGAGCGGCTCCGAGGACAAGCACTACCACGAGCTCGACGCGGTCGGGCTTCATAGGCAGCACCAGGACACTGCCGTCTGCACGCGACACAGCCAAAGGTGAGCGTTAGGACGGGATACCCGGACACCTCGACAGCATATAATTAGTCTTTATATCGAAGCTCTGCGTCATACTTCCAAAATGACGGAATGACGCTCCACAGTCCAAGGGCCACTTGAAAGTGTCAGTGCCGTCGATACGTTCCGGGCCCCATGTCTTTTTGTCAATGCATTTTGATTATTATGCGTCGTGTGAGCAGGGAGTCTTGGAAGGTGTCAAGTTGACTAATAATCTAACGGTTTCACGTAGAGAAAAGGTCTCTTGGCAGCTTCATGGACAAGGACGCGTCAATCAACCTAATAAATTAATGCGTTTTTTTAAGCGCGCTCGATCAATGGTTTTTGTGGTGACTATGGGCTCGTTAAAGAGGTGGTTGGGGGGGGGGGCTCGAGCAACAATAAAAATGAAATGTAACAAAAAATTGTTTTCCATCGAGCTTTGAGATTTTGATTTTAAATTTTGAAACGACTAATTTGACTTGTCTGTTGAATTGAAAAATAGGCTTTTGAAAAGAAAATAAAATAAAACGCTTATTTTCAGTTGTCGATACCAAATACTCCCCATGATGATGATTGGCTCTGACGAACTTTAGAATGGGGCTTTTCGTTCTTCGAACAAAGCTTTACAAATGTACGTTGAGTTTTTTAAATAGTAAAATTCTTTCTCCTATTCATAAAAATAATGAAAGAGGATATCAACATTTTTCATGAGCTATAAATATTATAATACAATTCTACATAAATCACATTTTTCCATCGCATAGAATTCTTTATAGCGTGTTTAATTGAATAATCGTAAAATGGTTCTTATTCATTTAACATTGAATTTTTATAAATTCCTTTCAAAATGAAATCACGTTATTGTACATAAAGTTAAAATGCAATATTAACAAAAAAAAAAAAAAAAAAAAAAAAATATATATATATATATATTCAATTAGTAATCACAATTAACTGCCATAAATGTATATTTTTATTTTGTACCTTTTGTTTGATCAGTAAAATCGTGTAAAATTAATTAGCAAAAAATGCACATATGTTAGAAATCCATATGTAATATTAATTATATAAAATATTTTATAACAAATGCCAAATATATTTTCGATGGGATTTTTATTAATAAATGACAAATATGCGTTATAGTTTATTAAAAGATTATATTTGTCAGTGTAACTAAAAATTTTAATTATTCCATTATAGTTTATAACAAGATTCGGTTTTTTTTTTATTTTCTTTTTCCATTATAACACAAAATGAATACAAACATTATTTTATCATTCATTTGATTTTATAATATGAATAATTATTTACTGTTCTTCTATTTCCATTAGTTTTTACTATAACAATAATATAATCCGGATATTTGCATGCTTTGTACTAGTGATGTAAAATTAACAATGAGTTCTTCTATTAAAAATAATTTAATTATAATTTCATTATACTTTATGGTTACACAAAATATGAAACTTTCAACTTAGAAGAATAAAAATTCACTCATAAACCTTACATCTCATAAAATATATGTGTGTACGCACATATTTATATGCATACCTATATATATATATATATATATATATATATATATATATATATATATATACGTACATGCATACACACTCATGTATGTATGCTTAGCTGTAACTTTTTACAAATTAATACTACTGTCTATTCTGATCTACAGTTTTGTTAAAGCTAAAGGCAAATTGCAGGAAGCCCCTTTTAATTTTAAATTTCATACATCGACAACGCACATAACAATTCTATATAATCTTCATTACTAAACATTTGCAATTAATTATCTCGAATAAATTTAACGTATAAAATAATGATAATAAATTATAACTTTATTAACTATCATAATGGTAATAATTACAATAATATGAGTAATAATATTTAAAAATAAAAATAAAATAAAAATAATAATAACATTAGTAAACGCTATAACATCACGCGTTTTTAAAATCGCTTATTCTCCAAGAGATAAGAGAGCCTTTTTTTTTTTTTACTAATTCACATAGCATAGATAATAAAGTAACGTTTGATATATATATATATATATATATATATATACAGACACACATTCGTATATAATATAGACATATCATGTGTATTGATGTGTATAACCAAATACTCGCGTATCTGTACTTGAAAAAATTTTCGAAAATAAAAATATATTAGTATCTATAATATAAACAAATACTTTTGTTCTGGATTTTAAAATGACATAATCAAAACTTTGGACCTTAGGATGCTCTTGCGCGTATCTATACCCACACAATTTCGCGCATACGTACTTTCATATACATGCATACATGCATACATACATACATACATACATACACACATACATACATATATACATACACACACGCACACACACGCGCACACACACACACACACACACATGAATATATATTACTTATATACAGATTTTTGCTGAGAACATTACTTTTCGAATCGTATTCGAAAAAGTATCAGTTACATTTTTAACATTTGTATTGTTGAAAAACAACCGAAAATAGACGCACAAGTCCTTGACTTTTACGGTATGTTAAAAAAAAACAATAAAATTGCCTCGCTTCATACACAAAGACACCAGACACTCATTTCACTCGTTCATTCAAAAATTTGGTAAGAAAGTAAAATACTGCGCGTCACACTCATCACGTCGATCGCTTGATTGCGTAGGTTAGGGGAGTCGGATTACGAGATGTACGAGAATGGACCGACAACGGCGATAGGACCGCCACACCGTCACCACCACCACCACCTCCACCATCATCATCATCACCTCCACCATCACGCGATGAGCAAGCAGCAACAGCAGCAACAGCAGCAGCAGCAGCAGCAACAGCAGCAGCATCAACAACATCAGCATCAGCATCAGCATCAGCAGCAGCAACAGCAACAGCAGCAACAGCAGATCTCAGGGGCCCAGCCCTCCTATCAGAACACAGCGTATACGGGCAGCGACGCCGAGCCCGATGGACCCTCGACGCTAAGCAGCGCCCCGAGCAGCGCCTATTACAGCGACCTGAGCTCGAACTCGGTGCACCAGCAGCTAGTAGTGACCTGTGCTGCGGCACCCGAAGGCGATGCTCCACCCGTATACGAGAGCGCCTCCCATTACAGACTGACGGCCATTCACGAGGCGGCCACATGTCCATCGGACTATATATGACGAGCGTCACGAACACCTTTCGCAAAATGTGATTTTGACGAGAGTCAAGCGTAGAGCTTAATATCCATGAAGTAGCCTTCTTTCCCTTTATCTGTAAGATTGCGAGACCAGGCGAACGAACCTGGCGCCTTCCATCTAAATTTTTTGTCAACCGCGGCTGACCGCGCGACTCTTAACAGCGATTGTGATAATTTAGCGGCGCTAAAATACATTAGTTCGGAAGCGATTCGAAATCCTTCCATCTCTTTACATTCTCTTTATGTATAAATTTTTTTATTTATTTGTAGTTAAGTAGAGCTTCTTCTTTATCGCTCATTTTATCCTCCAACTTCTATATCTATCATTACTACCACTACTACGCAACTCTACTACTTCATCGATTTCTTCTTCTATATCTTCATATTCATCTCTATTGTTGCCTGTAACTCTCAATTCTTGCGTGCACGTTAGCTTGTTATATAAATATCCGGGGGGAGAAGTCCATTGCGGTTATTATTTGTACTCTTTAACGTTATACATCTGTCTCGTGTCGGCAAAAAATATTTGTGTATTTTGTAAATATAGCACTAGTTAATACGCCACACTATTGAAACTGTGACTGCGAACATAATAATTGACCGATGTGTGCTAAGTAGTACCAGAGACGTGTTAACATTACTCTAATTGAACTTAACATTATTTAAAAACAATCATTAGGCGACGTATTTATCGATTGTAAATACTATACTTTATAAGGAAAACGACTTTAGAAGTAAGAAATGGCATTCTCTCTACGACTTTTAAAAAAGCAATGATATAAATAATGTTTTAATAAATAAACTCTTATAGCTTCTAACACTAAGCAGGCATTTCAAATGTTTTATTGGAAAAAAAAGATGATGAAAAAAACAAACAAATAATAACCCGTCCAAAAAATAACCGATTGTTCGAGCTCTTGTTGGGCTTTTGTGAGTAATCAAAAAGAATAGCTATCGAAATTATGCGAGGATGAAGTTGTTTCGCAGGAAGAACAGGTGGCTCGGTAATTTGACGTTACGCCTCCTTCGCTCGATCTTCTCCATCGCTGCGCTGCTAAGCATTGGCTACTTCCGTTCGCTCGTTCGCTCGTTCGCTCGTTCTCTCTCTCTCTCTCTCTCTCTCTCTCTCTCTCTCTCTCCCTTCCCTACTCTTCCTCCAGCCCCCCTCCCCCCTTTTTTTTCGCAAACACGCACACCACACTCCCGTGCTCACGCACACGCACAGCCACACGTAGGCACACGCATGCATATCCTCGATCGCATACACGCACACATGTAGAGGCAAATCCGCACACTTATATATCACTTCACGCGGCACACGCACTTCCTTGTGCATTTTTACCGAGCTCTGCACGCAGCGCGGAGAATTATTGTCGTATACGCACGTGTGCGCGCCTTCATTACGCACACTGGAAGTCGCCGAGGCTTTATTTTTATTATTGAAAAGGCCCTCATAAGCTCGGAAGACTCTTTTTAATAACGCGTGTAATATGAATCTAGTTGGTGTCTCGCATTCGCTAGCAACTCCGTCTATGCGAACACGTGTAGCCTTTGTAACCACCACCAACACCTAAATCCCACCCCACCTCTACCCGCCCACGGCTCGTCCCTCCCCCTAACGCACCATTGATCGTGCGAAGGGCATGGGATAAATAGCGAAAGAGGACGTATATTGGGGTGTAGAGGGAGGTGGGATCAGGATAATTACCAAGGCGGATAGAGACAGAGACAGAGATAGGCAAGGGAGAGGAAGGGATAAGTCGTAGGCGTTATCAGGCATTCCCACCGACGACTGACGGCTTGTTGCTGCCGGACGACGCCGACGTTGTCGCCGATGACTTGTTCCTCTGTGCGTTGTGGTAGAGGTACGAGTGCACCCGCAGGCTATTGCTGTTCTTGTATTTGTTGCCGCAGAGCTTGCAGGTGAGGCTCTCGAGAGGTCCGTGAATGTAGCGCACGTGCAGCTTAAGGTTCTCCTTGCGCGTGAAGTGCCGTAAACACCACGGGCAGGAATACATGCGGATGACCTTGCCACGCTCCATGCGTATGGTCGGCCCGAGCTCCGATATCACCCGCAGAGTCGTCTCCAGAGAGAGGCTACTGCCCGGTAAGCCTTTCACCGTCCGTCGACCTTTGCTCGCGCTGTTGCTTCCCCCAATCCCGCCAGTCCCGCCGCTCCCGCTGCAACTCGACGACGGATCGTGGCTGAAGTCGCTCGCGCACGTCGTCCCCGTCTCGCGGAAACCTAAAGCAGGGTCATCATCGTCAATCCAAGTGTAAAAGGAAGCGCGCCACGGAAAGACTAGCGCGCTAATTAGCTCGTAATGAGGATAGCATTATGTTAATTCGAGATTCGAGTACAACTTACAGTTATAATTAGTTGGGGATAGTGTCTTATAATGCTTTCGTGCGCGTCTCTCCAGCACAATTAGCAATTGATTTTCCATTAGCGTTATGCTCCTATTGCTCGTGGGTCTTCGCGTTTATTTAGAATTTTCTTATAATTAATGATAATATTTCAAATTTCGCTTTTGCGATCCGAGACATCATTTTTACTTACACATTGGCTATTATTTCTCAGTATTATTATTCAGTATTAAGCGATTAATAATTTTACAGACGAGGTGAAATTTAATCCTGTCGTTTAATCGGTATTAGTTAAATGACAAAAATCGCGCCAATGAGATAGTCAATTATTTCACGTAATTAATGATATTTCTCCGTAATCCCAGAGAGAGAGAGAGAGAGAGAGAGAGAGAGAGAGAGCAGTCACAACAAATATTTAACCGTAGGTTTATTGTTGCATGGAAATTTAACTTTATTTTATTATTTATTATTTATCCAATAAAATTAGAAAATTTGTTGACATTTTTTCCTAAATTGAATTATCACTGCAACTTACCGACTGAGTCGCTCTGGCAGTGCGACGTGCTGTAGATCATTTGTTGTGCGTTCAATACGGTATCCATATTTTCTTGCTCATTGTGCGGAAGATTTGACGATGTTCCTCCTATTGACCTTTGAATACATTCTACTTCAGGACTCAAATGCTTAATTTCAGGACTAATGAGGTTTAATTTGGGCTTGTATTCCGGAAAATCCGCTGGAATTTTTTGATTATCGTCTAAGCTGGCTGAACAGTCGAGAGGCTCTTCGTCGATCGTTTGACACGTTGGATTTATAATATCTCTGCTTTCACTGTGTGATAAATTTTCGCTTATTAAAGAATCGGTTGAATCCCGAAACGTTTTAACAGATACGTCGTCCTTCGGTATTTTGCTGCTGCATTGGCAAGGATTGCTCCAATTATTCGAAGGTTCGCAAAATGGTTCGGGTGTGTGTGATGCTTGAGACGCCGATGCATTTTTTGTATATTCATGTTGTATAAGAGGTAAGGCATCCACCAGATCTCTTTCGGATTCATCCTGAAATTAAGCGAACGTATTATTAAATTAATATTTATAAATGCAAATTGAGGAATGCGCAATTTATTTATATTGCATTGAAATCACTGTAAATGCACGTACATCCATAAATTATTTATTAAATCTATTCGTATTTATGGATATTTTATTTTCCATTCGCGAAGTCTGAGTCACTTAAAAAAAATGGCTTTTAAGAGCAGTTTTTTTTAGATAGATCCTACCTTATCGACGGCAAATAATGTTTTCGAATTTGTCGTTATTCGGTATCATATTCCATATTATCGATTCTGAATTTCAAATAAAACCAGTTTTATTTTGATTTTGTTTTTTCATCTTAAATACGTAAGTATAAAAATTTATTGGATTAGCGATGATATTTGTAAAGCTTGTAGTAAACAAGAAATTCGTATAATTAATTTATCTTTAAATATCAATTAATTTCAAGGTGGTTTTTCTATTAAGGAGGTCGTTAATAATTTACCAAACGACAACGAAATCTCTTGTTTAATAAAAATTTTAAAATTGTTTAACAATGAATTATTTACATTTTTTTATGTTGTCATTGTAAAATTATATTTAAAATATGATTTCATACGACTAATCCTAATGAATATATAATGATAGATTAAAAATAATTTCATACATATAACAATCTTAATAGATCACCTTTTTTACTGACTGTTTTTTAAACAGTCTTTTTACCGATTTTTTATTAAATGCAAAAGAAAAAAAAGAAAAACATATTTCTTATAATCAGTATACACGAGTGTGTATCAGCATATAAGATATTTTTATACAAATTTGCATGTACCACAGCTCATAGAAAAACTAAAGATAAACACTTTATACTTTATATTTGCATATAATTAAACTGCTGTGTATCGCTCAAACGATTGTACATTTGTAAAGTATTATAAATTTGACAAAGAAAAATACGTTTTTTAAATCTTAATGATGAGAGTGAGAAAGATTATAATTAAAAGAATTAACATTCCATTAGAGAGAGAGAGAGAGAGAGAGAGAGAGAGAGATTTCTAATTTTTAGAAAATTATGTTTTTGTCGTATATTTTTGCAATTATGATATATGTACGTAAATTGGTTTTAGAAATATTTTACTAAATTATATCCAATTATTGTCATTGTACATTATACAGTTAGGGATTTGTTTAAACAATTGAAAACATTATTATTCACATAAAATGTACGAATCAAGCAATACGCGTAATATTTATAATAGCGTAAAAAAATTGAAAAGTTTTCATTACAATAAGCCATTCGCGCCCATTCGGTTACTCAATTGATTCAAAAAGATTAATTGAAAAAGGATAAATAATGAAGAAGCTGCTAAAAAAAAAGAAAAAAAAGAAATATAATACCGCGAATAATAGCTTTTCCAAATAAAATTATTTCTTTTATGAAATCAAGAATTTTGCGTATCCCTATTGTCACATTGACAATAATTATAATTATATATTTAAAATGCATTAGCTTTCATCCTGGCATTTAATATTAAATTTCATTACCATCAATTATTAATATGATTCATTGGACAGATTTACAAATAATTATTTTAAAAGATTTTTTCCCCTATAAAGATAATCGCAAAAATTACAACGGCGGATGGTCGTCTTTTAAATTAATATTATTGTTAATGCAAAATTAGAATATACCAGTAAATCTTTGTGAAATAGCCTACCATTCCTTAGTATGCTACAGCATAATACAATCTCAGGACAATATATATAGGTATTGTATTTGAAACATTAGAAGAGGAATTTTTAGATAAGTTAACGATATTTTTTCATCAAAATGGAAATTCACTTTGATATATTTATTTGACATTCCAGGCGATAATATACGACTGCATTAATAGTAAATTAATGTATTTGTATTTTGCACTAATGCGAAGATTTTTAACATATCAAGCATTTATAGATAAACGAGCCAATTACGTCGAAACAAGGGCAATGTGTTTGAAATTTATATCAACGTACTTGCTGCTGAGTATAACTCAAAAACGATTGTTTTAATTTTCATAATTTAGGTGTCAATTAGTGAAAAAAATAAAACGTAAGATAGCACAAACATTTTAAAACACCGCATCCATCTCCGTGCGTACTTGGAACAAACGCGCTCGTATATATGCATGCATGCATGCGTGTATATATATATATATATATATATATGCGCGCGCGCGCGCGCACACGCGGTTATACATTGAACTTGTGTCATACGGATTTGTATATCGACGCAATCGCTATGATATCCACGTGCAGACAGGCGCACATGTAGTACTGAAACGACACGTGCTTCGACTTTTAACGACTTATTTATTTATCGTAAAAAAATGTTTTGTATGAATAAAAATAAAGCGATTAGATTTTTACAAATTGAAATAAACTATTATGTTCAACACGAATTTTACAAGACTTTGTATTTTTGTATTGCATAATATTCTATCATGCATGTGTAATGTATATATAGGTATAAACAAATTTACAACGATTTTTTTTAATGACTCTGACATCAGTCATTTCGTATTAGTGCCACTAATAACTGCTAATTACTGAAATATAGTAACATTGATGATCGTATATATTATGTATACGCATACGTAAACACGTGTATATACGTATATTTATATATAAATTATATTTTCTTTTTAGGAAAGATGAGAATATACCGTGTCAATATCCTGTATGCTATGCCTACGTAATGATTAATAATTAACAATGGTGTATTGCCTTTTAATGAATTCATTATTAAAAAGAACGAATAATTTAAACGAACATTTGAAAAAAAAAAGTTTATCTTTGACTTAAATCATTTTTACATACAAATTTAAGTGAATCCATTTCTTTTAAACAATGTTTTGCAGTTTATATATATATATATATATATATATATAAACGATCAACGATCTGTCTTTTCACTTGTTTTTTTTCTTTTTCAAATTGTTTATTTCAACCAATAATTTAGCATTAAGTATCCGTTTTTTTGTTTCCATGCAACATTAACTACGCAAACAAATGTAAAACCGTATATAACCGTATATTATTTTATAACGATAATTCAGTATTGTAAATGAATTATATGAATTCAACGGGATGAAACATTAATTTATTATCGAGTTTTTATAGTAATATTAAAATAATAATTAGATCGTCGGTTTAGGATAAAATGAAGTATTCTTAAAAGTAGCTTGAGACATTCCGCTATGTTGTTTTAATATAAATAGATAATTATAGTAACTGGATCGGCAACTGTATTTCTAAAAATTTTTAATCAGGGACTCAACAAAGCTTTAAATATAGCATTAAATAATAATTAACTCTAATAATTAATCTTTTATCTTTTTAAGTTAATAATATGCCAAAGTGGCATATAATATAGTGCTTTTGCAATTGAAAGTAATTTCAAATTATTATAGCCACATAATTTGTTAAATACATATTAAATATACTTTAGTGCTAGCAATCTTTAAAATATTAAGAAACGTAAGGTATTATATAAATGCTTGGATATTTGTTTACCGTAAAATGGATTTTTGTTCTGAAATTGCAAATTGTTTTTTTTATTATTTTTTTTTTATTATTTTTTTTTTTTATTATTATTTTTATTTCAAGATAGGTAGCTGCCGAATACAAAATATAATTAATTATACTGTTTTTAACTTTATTAGAAATTTAAAATACTTGTATTTTCAGGCATTGCTTATATACGTGTGCGCGCGCGCGTGTGTATGTATATCAGGTATAGTATTTTTACGGTTAGTTTTGTTTTTACATTGATAATTATTATTACTATTTATTATTAAAAATCGAGTAACACAAGCGCAGTAAAGAAATTGTATTATAAATACGTTTTACTAAATATCACTATTTTCAATTCAATTTAATTAATTTGTCATTATTATTAAATACGCGTAATGTCTGAAAAATGGTGATGCAATAAGTAAAAGCTTTGATAATGTACTGAAAACTTTAATGTTTCATGGGCAATCGCTATAATCAAACAATTTTCTTTCCCAACATACACATCCATTTTATGACATTACGGAAACATCGAGGAATTCAATAAAATGTAGATAACGTAGTTTTGGCAATATGTTTTTGCAAATCCAATGAAAGAATAACAACTGTTTTTGTATTATTAATTATGTTGTTGGTACGCGTTGCTTTTACTGTAGATAATCGTAATTTAAAAATAATAATAAGTTGGCTGCATTACGTCCTAGTGGTACCGCACTTTTTTCTTTAATTTTTTTGGTTTTGTTTTTTGTTTTGTTTTGTTTTTTTGTTTTCTGTTAATGGAAAAGGTAAATAGTTGTTCTATCAAACGTTACAGAGACATTTGCGCAGATTAACAACGGCTTAACCATTAATAAAAATTAAACTTAATAAACACGTTGGCTACAGCGCTTTATAATGATGTAAATAATTCCAGCAAAGTTGTTTCGTTGCCGTCACCGACGATTATAATTGAAAATTAAATAAAACGCATGAAAAGTCAATTAAAATGCAAAACCAGAAAAATTAAAATTTATTGTGTACATGTACAAACTAACTAATAATAATGCTGCGAATAATTATATGATGCACGATAATTTAAATGGAATATGCAATGAAGATTACTATTAAAAACAAATCGATTCGCAAACGGACAAAATAACCTTTTTTCATTTCTCATCGATAAAGACAAAAAGCCACACTGGTAAATATTAACAAATATTTTTTATTTGATTTCGTGATTATCTCGTTCGAGATTCACTCGGTCGCGACTCTCTTAAAACAATAACAAGCTTGAGTGTCTGTTAGACTGTTGGCGAAAGTGGCGCGCCAAAAATATACGAAAACAAAAGGAAAGTCAAAGAGTGCGTTCCAACATACGTTCCCACTGACCTGGAATAGCTCCAAGCGTGAATCGTAGTGACGAGCTTTTAGCATAGGCGACGTTATCAGATGATAAATAAATTATAAATTAGAAGACGAAGAGTGAGAAAAGTAGCATAAGATGGATAGATTGGTGGTCTGGGAGGAATGTGTCCGTGCATGCGTGCATGCGTGCGAAGGAGGAGGAGGAGGAGGATGTGGTGGCGGTGGTGACGATGGTGAAGGAAACGAACACGAGACTTGGGAGAAGGGTGGGGATAAGGGGAATATATATATATATATATATATATATATATATATATATAGAGAGAGAGAGAGAGAGTGAGAGACATATTTGAGGCAAACAAACCGTAAAGAAAATAATTTTTTTTGTTTGTTTTTCTTTCTATCAATTAGTTAATAAAAGTGGCTCGAGCCATTATGTTTGCATACGAATATGGAGAGGGGAGAGGCAGTCACTCGTGTTTACTCACGTCATCGTCACTGGTCCTCGTAAGACCCTTAATCTTCAAAATCTCGGCAACTTTGAGAAAGCTCGCTATGTCTTCCTGCTTGATGTTGACTTCGCCTTGGTACATGAAGTGCAGCATCGCCGACAGGTCGCGATAGTTGACATCCTTGAGGATGACGATAGGATGTTTACACGTGTTTCCCTGCAACGCGAGCGCACACATAATAGAAACAAGCTATTCGCACGCGCCTAGACTGCTTTATTGAAGTAGGGGAAGCGGCGGTTGGAGTGGGTGGACACGGACGGTGGGTGGAGGGTGGAGCGTGGACCGTGAATCGTGGACCGCGAACGGTGTGTACGTGTATGAATTTGCCTGTGAGGAGACAGAGAGACAGAGAGGGGAGGGAGGAGGAGGAGGAGGAGGAGGATGATAGGATGGAGACACAAACAGCAGAAAAAACATAAAAATATCGAGACGCGGCGTTGTGCGCGCGTACATCAATTAGCATAAGTGCGTCGCTTGGCTCCAGCCTACGCGCAGCAAAAGTCCTCGCGGCTGGTGACACGTGCGCGCGAGGGCGTTTTGTAACGAGAGAGGAGAGACCTCGGCATTTACGTCCATAAATAGCCGTAACGACCAAAGGAGCGGAGCGCAGCGGGCCTTTAAAAATGGTTGCTGCGGCGCAGGCGCAGCCGAGGCCACGCGCTCGCGACACACAGGTACACGCGCGCGCGCACGGCTAGACGCGGGGGCGGGGGTGGGACTGCGGCGAGAGGGGTTGGGCGGGGGGGGGGGGGGGGGGGAGCGA